TTCCCGAAGTTTCCTTTTAACGATTTATTGACAGTAGGGTGAAATCGACTCCCACACCTTATGATCTAGAAGATCAAGTGGAGTTTGTCATCGATGGGCTATCAGAAGATTACAAGACTGTCGCGGATCAGATTGAAAGCAGAGACACCACGCCATCATTAACAGAGGTCCACGAGAGGTTACTTAACCATGAGGCAAAACTTCAAACTACCATTCCCCAGCAGCAGCCAACTCTTCCTGTCTCAGCAAACGTTGCTACTCACCGTAACAGTAGCAACAATACCAACAACTATCGTGGCTCCTACAACAAGCAATACAACACTCGCAGCAACAATACCAATAACAGAACTCCAAATTCCCAGTACCAAAACAATGGCAGATCCGATGGGTATCAACCTCGTCCTTACCTTGGGAGGTGTCAGCTTTGTGGAGTACACGGTCACACCGCAAGAAGATGCAACCAATCTCAAGCTAATCGCATCAGCAATGACACCACTCAACGCAGTCCTTTCTCACCCTATCAACCAAGAGCAAACATGGCGATGTCTCCTCAACCTCACTACACGGCAAACAACTGGCTTCTTGACAGTGGTGCCACTCATCACATCACTAGTGATCTTGCAAATCTCTCTCTTCATCAACCCTATGCAGGAAATGATGAAGTATTGATCGGAGATGGCTCTAGTCTTACGATCTCGCATACTGGTTCTTCTTTACTACCCTCAAACTCTCGTCCTTTATCGTTAACCAATATCCTTTATGTTCCTAACATTCAAAAGAATCTGATATCTGTCTAGAGATTGTGTAACTCTAACAAAGTGTCTGTTGAATTTTTCCCGGCTCACTGTCAGGTGAAGGATCTCAGCACGGGGGTCCCATTACTCCAAGGACGGACTAAAGATGAGCTTTACGAGTGGCCAGTGACACCATCTACCATTCATTCTCTTTTCGCTACTCCCTCACCAGAAACCAGCACCAATAAATGGCATGCCCGCTTAGGACATCCATCTTCTTCTATTTTAAACTCTATTGTTTCTCTTTTTCATTTGCCTTTGTCTTCTTCTTCTCAAAAACAATTGTCTTGCACTCATTGTTTGATTAATAAGAGCCATAAACTTCCTTTTTCACAAACCTCTATTACCTCTTCCCGACCATTACAAATAATCTTCTCTGATGTTTGGAGTTCTCCAATAACTTCTATTGAAAATCATAAATATTACCTTGTATTGGTGGATCACTTTACTAGATACACATGGCTATATCCTCTCACAAGAAAATCTCAGGTCCGAGACGTCTTTGTAGCGTACAAAGCACTAGTAGAGAAACGCTTCTAGACACAAATCACCACTCTCTATTCAGACAATGGAGGTGAATTCATCGCCCTTCGATCATTTCTCACAGAACACGGCATCACTCACCTTACCACTCCTCCGCATACGCCTGAACACAATGGCATGTCAGAAAGAAAACACAGACATGTCGTAGAAACTGGCATGACACTCCTATCTCAAGCTGCAGTCCCAAAAACATACTGGCCTTACGCGTTTGCCGCTGCTGTATATCTCATAAACCGACTTCCAACACCAACTCTAGCAATGGAATCTCCATTCCAGAAGCTCTTCCTGCGATCCCCAAACTACAGCAACCCTCGAATCTTCGGCTGTATGTGCTTCCCATGGCTCCGCCCGTACAACACCAACAAGCTTCAAGCCAAATCCAAGCCGTGTGTCTTCTTAGGGTATTCACTAACACAAAGTGCATACCTGTGTCTTAATACCTCTACGGGTCGATTGTATGTCTCAAGGCACGTACAATTTGATGAAGATCGATTCCCGTTTCTTATCCAAACCCAGAAACACCGATTCCTGAACCCACCTGGTCGCCACCGGTCACTCGTATTCCTCGTCAAGCTCCGTCACTGCCTGTGGTGGTAACCCCAAGCTCGGATTCTTCACCACAATCGTCGCCGGGAACTGCTCAACACGCGCTTCCACGAACTCCATCAGGTTCTATCTCTCAAAACTCAAACACTAATTTTTCTTCTCCAGGCCCAAACCCAACCATAACTCAATCTAATACTGGCCCAATACAAACCAACCCAAGCCCAACTATTGTGTCCCATACAAATCCACCTACACCTATTACGTTAAACCCAAACCCACAAGATCAGCAAAACCTTAATTCATCGTCTACTACCTCACCACCACGAACCTCAACAACTCATGTCACAAACCCAGAACCTAATCCTCCTATACAACCACAGCGAATGAAAACCAGGTCCCAAAATAATATAACCAAACCAAACAAAAAGTACTCCCTCTCCATCACTTCCCGTCTTACAAATACCACCCCTACAACCATTAACCAGGCTATGCAAGATCCACACTGGAGAAATTCCTGCTCTGAAGAGTTTAATGCTCAAATCAAGAACAGAACTTGGGATTTAGTTCCACCGTCCCCGAATCAAAATATTGTTGGTTGCGGTTGGATATTTACAAATAAAATGTTGCATGATGGTTCTCTTGGCAGGTGCAAATCAAGACTAGTAGCACGAGGCTATAACCAACAGTACGGAGTTGATTTTGGAGACACATTCAGTCCTGTAATAAAAGCAACGACGGTTCGCACAGTCCTCGGAGTAGCAGAGAGAAAATCCTGGATGTTGCGTCAATTGGACGTTAATCATGCTTTCCTCCAAGCCCGCTTAACCGATGAAGTATACATGGCTCAACTTCCGGGTTTCATCGACAAGGATCATCCACATCATGTATGTCGCCTAAATAAGGCAATTTACGGTCTCAAACAATCGCCTCGTGCCTGGTACCAAGAACTCGGGTCATACCTTATCTCCTGGGATTTCACAATTCAGTAGCTGACACTTCCTTATTTGTTCTGTGACTTAATGGTAACATCGTCTACCTCCTCGTTTATGTGGATGACATCATCGTCACGGGTAGCAACAACCAACTTATCGAGAAAATCATTGCTTCGCTCGCAAGTAGATTCTCGATCAAAGACATGGGGAACTTGCATTATTTTCTTGGAATCGAAGTAACAAGAACAACGGCTGGACTACACTTGATAGAGAATATGCAGAACACAAAGCCGGTCTCTACACCTTTGAATGCTGCAGAAAAGCTCTCACTAAATCTCGGTCAAGCTCTGCCAGATCCTACAGAACACAGAACCATTATTGGGAGCCTCCAGTACCTTGCATTCACCTTTCCTTATATATCTATACGCCCCCTCAAGATGGAGGTGGTGAAACAACTCCAATCTTGGAACACAGTTGCTGAAATGGTGTCCGCGGTAGTGGTTTGGTAAGGGCATCAGCCAGTTGATCCCTGGTTGAGACGTGTACAACTCGAAGCTGACCTGATTGTATCTGCTCTCTTATGAAGTGATAATCCAAGGCTATATGCTTCATTCGTGAATGGAAAACCGGGTACATGCATCGACCCACAGACCTTCATTGGAGTGCAGCTAAACGAGTACTAAGATATCTAGCAGGTACGCTGTCACATGGGATTCTACTTCGCAAAAATAATCCCCTGTCTCTCCATGCCTTCTCCGACGCCGACTGAGCAGGTGATAATGATGACTTTGTATCTACAAATGCTTATGTCGTTTATCTCGGAACTCAGCCGATTTCTTGGTCTTCAAAGAAGCAAAAGGGAGTAGCTAGATCGTCTACGGAGGCTGAATATCGTTCGGTTGCTAACACTGCTTCTGAACTTCGTTGGGTATGTTCTTTACTTTCTGAGCTTGGAATTCGCTTGTCTACAGCTCCAGTTGTCTATTGTGATAACATAGGAGCCACTTATTTATGTGCGAACCCGGTTTTCCATTCACGAATGAAGCATGTAGCCTTGGATTATCACTTCATAAGAGAGCAGATACAATCAGGTCAGCTTCGAGTCGTACACGTCTCAACCAGGGATCAACTGGCTGATGCCCTTACCAAACCACTACCGCGGACACCATTTCAGCAACTCTGTTCCAAGATTGGAGTTTTTTCACCACCTCCATCTTGAGGGGGCGTATAGATATATATAAGGAAAGGGTCTCAATGTAATTCATAATTCTGTATACCCTAGTACAATCTCCTATGTATATAACCTTGTACACATTCCCTATAATGAATCAAGTCATTTAACCTATAAATACTAATATAGAAAAAGTAAAAAGAAAATGTTTATTTTTTGAACTGGACTCATATATAAAAGGTTACATCAAAATTTTATTTTTTACGTAAATTTGAAGTGATCTAAAAAACAAATTGGAATAGAACAACAGATAAAAACGAAGATTAATGAAAATTTTAAGCAGTCTTAGACCACAATTATCGGGAGTCCTCAATAGGGGTTTTAAGCAAACAAGTGAATTAATTAGATCAAAGTTAATTAAAAGGTAAATTATCGATCCTTAGACCACCTCCATCTGAGGCTTTAAGCTGAGGTTCTAAAGCAAAAAAAGCAAAAAAAAAAAAAAAAAAAAAAATCAAAAATAAGACAATTACAAAGAACCAGTGTCTAAGTAAGTACTTTCAGAAGTAGTAAAAACCCCATACGTGGCTTATGCGTATTGAGTCGTCTCTTTTTTCGTCAGTGTTTTTTTTTTTTTGCGATGTTTCTCTCTTCGCTTTTGATCTCGATTTCCAGTTTTTGTGTAAAATCCATAAGTACTCGTTTGATTTGTTTTCCAGTCTTCATCCCCTTCTTGATCCGTTATTATGTTTTTTTTTCACTTGCTTCGTTTCGTTTATTTATAAGGACGTTGGAACCAGAGACTCAGAAGGATATTGCGCTCTTTACACTCACCCAAATTCAGCCCAGAGTTGTTTCCTTCGAGGAACAGCTTTTGATTAATTTTTATAACCCTGCATCTATTTATAATCCCTTAATGTTTAGTATCATGTTATTTAAAGAGATTGGTATCTACCAAGGATGGGTTTAGTTGAGAGACACTGTACATTCTGTTGCTTTAAAATCTCCTTATAGGCCCTTGTTATCAGAGAAAAGCTTGTGGCTTTGTATGAATCAGAACAGGACTGGTCAAGAGCTGCCCAGATGTTGAGTGGCATTGATCTCGACTCTGGCGTGAGGTATAATAGTGAGGGGAGAGCACCAAAACCGGCTAGATCTCGTCAGAACAGGAATGGTCAAGAGCTGTTCGAAATAAGTTTGTACCAACTTCCTAAACCAGAATAGAAATACAAAACCTCTTTAATCAGACCAACACCGGTTCTGATTTCCACGAGTCTTCACAACCAACTTCCTACAAACTCCACCTTGGTTGTAAGTCTTCATGCTGAGCTTAGAAAAACTCCATCCTCGATTTCCTTCTGACTTCATTGTACAGAAGAGCCAAGTAAGCTCAACAGATGCTTGAACTTACTTACAGGCAAAACCTTGGTAAAGATATCTGCAAGATTCTTATCAGTATGCACCTTAGAAACTCGCACCTCGCCTTCTTTTATCAATTCTCTAACAAAACTGAGCTTTCTAGCCATGTGTTTCGTCCTCTCATGGTAAACATTATTCTTAGCAAGAGCTCGAGAACTTTGAGAGTCACAGAAGATCTCTATATTATCTTGTTTGTAACCAAACTCTTCGCTAAGTCCGTTCAACCACACTACTTCCTTTGACGCTTCGGTTAATGAGATATATTCAGACTCGGTAGTAGAGAGAGCTACAACCTTCCGTAAGCTTGATCTCCAGCTTATAGCACATCCATCAGATAGAAAAGTATAACCTGATATGGATCTTTTCCTATCCAAATCTCCTCCAAAATCTGAGTCACAATACCCAACTATCTTGAACTCATCCGTCTTCTCATACTTCAAACTCATCCTCCGAGTTCCATTTACATATCTCAGTGCCCATTTTACTGCATCCCAGTGTTCTCTAACCGGATCACTCATGAATCGACTCACCAGACCCACAGGATAAGGTAGATCAGGTCTAGTACATATCATACCGTACATGAGACTACCTACAGCATTGCAGTAAGGTACTGATCTCATGTACTCTTCATCAGTCTTCACACGAGATGTATCTGCAGAGATTAACTTGAAATGAATACCCATGGCGTGTTTAAACACTTTGCACTCTCCATTGAATAAGTCTTTAATACTTTCTCCATGTAACTCTCTTGAGACAGAATCAAAGTTCCCCTTTTTCTGTCTCTCATAATCTCAATGCCAAGTATTTTCCTTGCAGCCCCTAAGTCTTTCATTTCAAATCTCGAACCAAGTTGATCTTTAATATCCTGAACGAGCTTCATGTCCTTACTCGCGACGAGCATATCGTTGACATATAGTAATAAGTACACATACACTTTTCCAATGCATTTTATGTAGACACACTGGTCATGACAGCTCCTTTTGAAACCCATCTCTTCATAAACTGATCAAACTTCTGGTTCCATTGCCTTGGACTTTGCTTGAGACCATATAGGGATTTTTTCAGTCTGCAGACCCAATCTTCTCTTCCCTTTTCTTCATATCCTTCAGGCTGAGACATGTATATTTCTTCTTCTAATTCACAATGAAGAAATGCAGTTTTTTACATCAAGCTGCTCCAGTTCCATGTCTTCTTGAACAACAATAGACATCAAGTACCTTATCGATACATGCTTGACAACCGGAGAGAAAATCTCATTATAATCTACACCCTCCTTTTGTGCATATCCCTTGGCCACAAGTCTACCCTTGTATCTTGGATACTCTACACCCTGGATTCCAGGTTTCCTTTTATAGATCCACTTGCATCCTATTACAGCTCTCCCTTTTGGTTTTCTTACGAGATCCAAAGTGTGATTTCTTCGCAATGATACCATCTCCTCATCTGATGCAAGTTTCCAATATTTTCTATAAGGATCTCTCATTGCATCTTTTTAATCTCTTGGCTCAACTATGTCTCCATCTTCAGCAACCATTCACGCAAGATACACATAGTCATCTAGCTTCTTTGGAGCCCTTGGCTCTCTCCTGCTTCTATCTCGAGCCAACTGATAACTACCTGCAACTGACTCATCACTAGAGTCTTCTTTATCCGAGATATCTCCCTCAGAATCACTGTTCTCAACTGTGATTACTTCTGTGTTCATAACACTTTCTATAGTGCCATCCTGACTCTCTCCACGTGAACACATATCATTATCTTCAGATATTCCTAGTTCCACATCAATAAACTTTGTGTTACTTTCTTTCTGCTCCAATGAATTTTCCTGCAAGTCTTTGTAACATTCTTCCTCGTTGAAAGTAACATTTCTACTGATTATACTTCTCTTATCTTCTAAAGAACAGATTTTATAGCCTTTCACGCCTGCTGGATAGCCAATGAATATCCATTTCTTAGCCCTGGGTTTGAGCTTTCCCTCATCAGAATGATGATAACAAACACAGCCAAACTTCTTTAAATGATCAAAATGCGGAACTATTTTTGACCAAACTTCTTCAGGAATCTCACTTTGAATTGCTGTAGATGGAGTTCTGTTTATAAGATTGACTGCAGTGTTAACTGCTTATGCCCATAATGATTTTGGTAATCCAGACTCATCCAACATACTCCTTAGTCTCTCTAGGATCGTCCTATTCATTCTCTCCACAACACCGTTCTGTTGTGGAGTATAAGGAATAGTCTTGTGTCTTGCTATACCCTGAGCTGAACATAAATTATCAAACTCCTTATTACAAAACTCCAACCCATTATCAGTTTGCAGCTTCTTCACTTTGAGACCTGATTGTTTTTCCATAAGAATCTTTCACTCTACAAACTTCTCAAATGCCTGATCTTTAGTCTTCAGAAAATAAACCCATATTTTCCTTGAGTGGTCATCAATAAGACTCAAGAAGTAATGACAGTTTCCAAGAGATTTTGTAACCGTAGGAGATCCCCAAAGATCAGCATGAATGTACTCCAGACACATCTTGCTCGTATGTTGACTTGAACCAAAACTGACCCGGTGAACCTTTCCAACTATGCAACTTTCACAAAACTACAGGTTTGAGACTTTCTTCTTGTCAAGAAACCCCTTCTTGACTAGAACATCAATACTCTTTCGGCTCACATGTCCAAGTCTGCTGTGCCACAAGTTTGTTCCATCTTTCACATACACTAAATTTGAAGAAAGTAAGGATTACTTTCTCGTTTAGCTTTCAAGACCGTTCTGCAACCCTTCTTGATCTTTAAAATCCCTTTCTCAGATGTTAAAACAACCTTCACTCTCGAATACTCCAAGAGATAACAGGTTCCTTGAGAACTGAGGAATGTACCTTACATTCTTGATCAAAACGAAGCTTCCTTCAGCTTTTTTTATACGAACAGTACCAATACCCTTTACAGATGAAGTAGATTCATTTGCCATCCTTACAGATCCTCATCACTTTCTTCAAGATTAATGAACCAGTCTTTTCTTGGAGTCATATGAAAAGAGCACCCACTGTCCATTATCCAGATCTCTATGTAGTCATGTGCTGCAGCAACATTTACTTCTGACACAGTTAGAGATTCTATAAACTGAATACCAGTCACTGCAGATGACTCACCATTCTCCTTCGTGGTTTCCTTCCCTTTCCCATTGTTCTTCTTTGGACAATTTCTCTTGAAGTGACCTTCAGAACCACAAATCCAAAAAGTAGGTTGATTCCCTTTTCCACGAGACTTTGATCTTCCCTTTCCTTTGTGTTTGTTCAGATATGAATCACGATTCCCTGACCTTCCTCTGTTGTTAGAGTTCGAGTATAACACTTCACCATGAGACTTACTCCCCTTTCCATTTCCATTTGCACCAAACTCTAGTTGCTTTGAATGAATGGAGTTAATGACTTCATCAAGTGTCACAGTGGTCTTACTGTACCTTAACATATCCCTTCGTTGATCAAACTGCTTTGGGAGAGACATTAAGAGTAGTATTGCTTGATCTTCATCCGAGATCTCCACCATGACGTTACTTAAGTCTGTTATGATTCTCAAGTACTCATTAATGTTACTCTCGATTGACAGAGACTCATTCATACAATAACCGTATAAACACTGCTTCAAATACATCTGGTTAGGAAGCGAAGTAGACATATACTGAGCATCCAGAATTTTCAACATACCAACTGCAGTCTTCTCTTTGATAATCTTCCTCAAGATCTGATCAGTGACATACATGATGATTGTGCTACGTACCTTCCTCTGTTTCTCGTCTAACGAAGTATCTACTTGTTTCGATACTGATTCATCATCAGTTTCCTTCAGCTTTCCTTCTCCCAATTTGCTCTCTGAAATCTTCAGATCTTCTTCTTGACTTATCAACGCATCCCTAAGTACAAGAAGATCCAGATTTACCAGTAACCTTTCTTTCCACATGTTGTCAATCTCGCCATTGAACTTCTCCATCTCGAACTTAGCCGACTTCATCTTGACGAGATCTCTTCGTCTCCGTTCTGCAACCTCCAATTCCTCCTTGAGACAGCCGAACCTGGTGCTCTGATACCACTTGTTGTGGAATCGAGTCAAAGCGAGATCTAGTTCGATTTGGATTCAATCTCAACAATGAATTATCGAGTATGAGTTTAAGATCTAGTGCGAATAAAATGACACAAGAAGATGTTATCCAGTTTGAGTGCAAAATCGCAACTCTACGTTTGGCCGAGGATCTCCTCAGTGATTGTAACACCGCCGTATCCCTCACCGGAAAAGCCCCAAGAGAAACGCTCACCCCCGTAGATTCAATCTCTCTCACAGTCTCTCATTATATCGCTTTTCTCCTCTCACAGTGTTTCCCAGAAACTCACACACTCTACAACTTGTCACACAAGCCAGATAATAACCGTAAACTCGGCCTCCACCTGTGGACCCCACTCTGTAACAAACTTTCGAATGAAAGTGATGACATGATACGACGGCGTTTAAAAATAAGTTTGTACCGACTTCCTAAACCAGAATAGAAATACAAAACCTCTTTAATCAGACCAAAACTGCAACTGATTTCAACGAGTCTTCAGAACCAACTTCCTACATGAAGGACACTAGAATTTTTTTAAAAGATGAACGACTTGACTTAAATTTCACGTATTCTACAGAATATCACCTCGCACAAGCAGAATTAAACCGAAATTCACATGATTCTACATATATTTGCCTTCAAATCTCGCAATATGATGAGTATTTGAAATCGAGTTCGTGATAAGACAATACATCAACAATTAAAAGATGATTTGGTTGAGAATTTATTGCAAAATTTGGTACAAATCAAGATTATAACTAATCGTTTTTTTCGTTTATAATTTGTATTTATACTTTTCATATGCTTTTATGTAATATTTATTTGAAAATTTATTTATGCTTTTCTTTCATGTTTATTTAAAATGTCTAGTTATAAATTTGTATTACTATTTTTAATATGTTTTTATGTCTTGTTTGTTTAAATTTTATGAAATCCAATAATTTATAAGTTTTGTAACATTTAAGTTTAACAATTCAACTGAAAAAAAAGATTAAGAACCTCATAAGGATTCTCCAATTGGACCCTTTTACAAAACAAATTTCAATAACAAGAGTTCTAAACTTTATAAAATACACAATTAACTATTAAACTAATAATAAGAACCATTAAGAGTTATAACCAATGGAGGTTCTCTTAGCTTAGGTTTTTTGTGATCGATTTTAGGGGGAATTCTTACCACGTGTCAGCAAAGCAATGTACCTAATTTGTTTTCCCTTTTCGTTTTCTCCGTGAGATGAAAGAGGAAGATTGACGACGTCTCCTCCGACTTCTCCGCCAACACTGAAGATCGAAACCGAGGACGACTCTCTTGGTCTTCACGGAGTCTCTTCCCACTTGTCTCATCTTATCCGTCAGAAAAAGTATCCAAAGCCACGACGGACGACGATTCTGTTGGTGTTGACGGCGTCTCCTCCGTCTCGCTCATGATCTCTTCATGACGGATAAGAGATCGCAAGAAGAAGTATCCCAACTATTTCCAATTTGCAAGTCTTGCGATCTCTTACATTTAGTCTGAAGAAGTTTTGTGGAATTTCTTGCCATTGTACTTCTGTTGTTTAGATTTCCTTCATATCTTGATCTTTCAACTTTTTATTGATCAGATAAATTAGCATTTTAGACGTTTTAGAAAGCTGGGCATGGCTCAAGAAGGTTGAAACATCGATGAGAAGGTAATAATCTGTCTTATTCAGCCAAGTTGTGGTATGTGTGTTCTTCATGATTCAATCGTAAACCATCATTGTTATAGGTTGTTGTTGGAGAGGAGAAAGGTTCGGTGACATTGGATACTCTAAACCGTCCTCATCAGCTTAATGTCATCTCTCCTGAAGTGGTAAATATTAAGACCTTAGATCAGAAGTTGACAATATGAGACGCCTAATGGAAAAACTTTGTAAATCAGGTCCTCAAGCTTGCAGAATATCTTGAAACCTGGGAGAATGATGACAAGACAAAGCTTATACTGATCAAGGTTTAATTTTTTTTTTGTCCTTCGTCTAATGACTCATGTAGAGTTGTTTCTTAACATATAGCTCATATATGCAGGGTGCATGGAGAGCTTTCTCTGCCAGTGGTGATCTAAAGATGTTTTATTACGGCGGTGAATCAAGTAAGAGTCCCAAGAGAAAACATACTATCATGTTTTAAGAAAACACATTCTTATAGAATTTATTATAACTTGATGATGATACAGAGGATTCTTGCCTTGAGGTTTTTACCGGATGTACTGGCGTGCTATCATATCCACACATACAAGAAGACTCAGGTGGAAATTTAATTAGTAGTTTATATGAAAGTTTCCTCCTGAACTAACCAAATAGTCTTATAGTTTTCTTTTGTCAATGTAATATCTATGGGTGGAGGTGCATCATTGATTGTCCCAATGAAGTTCTCAGTTGTGACAGAGAAGAGTGTGTGTTTCTTCTGCTTCATGCTCATGTATAAAAATAGTGTAGAAGCAAGTATAGCCTCAACTTTATCTCTGTCATTTGATTAGGTATTTGCAACTCCAGAAGTAAGTATTGGGTTTCACACTAACTGTGGCTTCTCTTACATCCCTTCACGTCTTCATGGTCATCTAGGTAACCACTAGTACCACATCTTAGTTATACTATACTTTGGCTAATCCTTAGGTGTACTTGAGAGTTTTATATAACATTTGCAGGATAATTCTTTGTTTTAACTAGGAAAATTTGTTTGACAAAAAAAAAACTAGGGAAATTTTTTTACAAACTCTTAATTAAAAAACTTCCATTGGAATTTAAAATTCAGGTGATTGTTAACTAAAGTTTTAAACTAAAATTTATTACTTAAATAGTCATTAACAAACCTAATGGGGTCCTAGGAATAATCATGCTCTTAGAATACCTCTGTTGGGGACTCTAAACAAGTATCTAATGATTATATTAAAGAAAAAAAATCAAGAAATTAGGAAAAAGTAGGAGAGAGGTTAAGATAAAGTACCGGATTAAATGTTTTCAAAATTACATTAGAACTTCTTTGTACACTTGCCAAACTATGATTAGATTCATTTTATTTAAGACAATTATAATTAAGCAATTATTTTTTTCAAATTAAAATAATAATAAAAATATCTGAAAAACCTTAAAATGAGAAATTTACCATTAAGGTTGCTCTAATAGGTGGTCTGTTGCATTCTCTGCAAAAAGGAATATATGTGACAATGTGACATAGGAGGTAGAATGGTCGCAAAAATTCCGTTATCTTATGTTTATACTTTTTCTAAAGATCAGTCTTATAGAAACAAAGATGGTCCATAATTTATAACAGTAACGACACATCCTACTTTAAGAGGAATGATACGAAAAGCATAGATAATTTGCTTGAATGGCAATTTGGAGTAATAACCATAACACACCAAAAAAAAGGAATATATTACATTGCTTATGCTATAAATATATGATGCATATCGCAATTACACCACATAAGTATGTTGTGACGTTGTGCTTGCTATGTTTCTACCATATGTGTGCCCCTTCTCGTATATTTGCATGTAATGTCATGTATATTGCACTGTATCTATACAAATTTCACATATTCTATAACATGCCGTATGTATGCATGTATACATGCATGATTGTGATTGACATCTATAAATGTTTACTATTTGTTATATTATTATAGTATAGTAGATGTTTTTATTTGTCTTTGTGTAATATGTTTATATTGTATGGGCAACGTATGTAGTATATAATGCAAGTTATGGTTGTGGAGTCATACATACTGAGTTTTATTCATAGGTTATCACATATTTGTATGTATTTTTTTATATATGCATGTGTGTGTATGTTTGTGTACATGCTTGTTATGAACATCTCCAAATCTTTATACTATTTGCAACTTTACAACATTATAGTAGTTAACTTTGTGTGATCTGTTTATATTTTATTTCAACGTTTGTATTATAGTTTGCATGTTATGTTTGTGCAGTCATGTTTAATGAGCTACTAGGTGACTCTCCCGCACGTTGTGCGGAAATAAAAATCGGCAAAATTAACGTTGGCATGCTTTGATCACATGTAGTGCACAAAAACAAAGGCTGGATATCAACATCAACATTGTTTCTAGGCATTACTTTTTATTATAGTATTAACAGTTCAATCTATATTCAACATTGATACATTGATAGTCATAATGGTAATGGAAGTCCCAACCAATTCTTAAATGACAATATGTCAAAAATCTTCATCGGAGAATTATCAAAGTTAGCAAAGAAAATTTTATCATGTTGCCTGGATAAGAAAATGAAAAATTTAGTTCATATACTTTAGTAATATTAATGATATCTCTATTTATTAACTACTCCTTAAGAACAAAAGATCCAGAAAAAGATGATTTAATAGTAAATGTGTTCAATCTAGATTTTGGTTCGGTTTCGGTTTGGTTTTTTTGATTTTTTGGTATTTTGGTTTATAAAAAAACTACCATATTAAAACCATATAGACTTTGTTTGGTTTTGGTATATATACCGTCGGTTTTCGGTTCTTTCAGTTTTACACCAAAAAAATATATATTTATCTTTTATAACATTTTGTGAATATTACTTAATATGATTAAATACCAACTTTAATAAAACAGAAAAATATTTCAGTTTTAAAATAGACTATTTTATATTATTTTTATTTAAATATTTTAAATAATTAATAAACATAGTAAGTTAATAATAACAATTTTCAGAAATAAAATAGGAAAATAGTAATAATATCATTATATTATTAAATAACTAATATTAGCACACATATTTGTCAACGAAAAAAGTAAAACTTGTTTTGTATAATCTGATAAAAAGGAAAAAAAATTACTTTTAACTTAAAACAAAATATTGAATTACTAAATCAACTTTTTAAGTATCATATCAATAACTTTACGACCATGCATGACCGTTGTCTAGATCGTCTTCATATTTTTATCAGAATTGATTCAATTGAAGCATGAATTTTTGTCACATCTTTGAACATTCAAAGGTTTCTCTGGATCAGTTAAAAATAAAATAAAGTAGCATGCAAATATTTAGTAGAATTAGCAGCTATGAAAAATATTACAATTCAAAATATATTTAAGGAAAAAAACAAATGTTAGTAAAAATTATTTTTCCTTCTATATTTTGAATTAGTAATAATAACTATCTACTTCCTTATCGATTAAATCATTTTAATGATTTTTTCTGGTTTCTTTGTTAAAATCCATCCACAAGTGAATGGTCTTAACTTTGATACGCCATGTTTATTTAAATGATTTTTAAGTCTTTAGCATAAGAGAAAAAACACATTTTTTGTAACCATTTCCATTATTATTTTTATTGATATATCAAAAGAGAGAGATATTTGTATTATAAAATATTGGTGACCAGAATTATGCACTTAGAACTTTGATGTTGTATTTTTTGACATCAAAATATTGTTCAGTTACTCAAACTTGAGATGGTTGAAGAATTCATACCGGAATAAAACAACCAATAAAAACTAAAATTTTAGAGAAAGAGTAATTGAACAAAAATTGAAAAAACCCGTGTCTGAAGGTTCACAAGCAGCTGAATCTTTATTACGTAAGGGCTTATTGGATGCTCGAGCCATCTTGGACAATTTATCTGCTATCTGGTTATTGAGCCACTAAAGTGACTTCTGCTTTAATATATAGTAGGATAAGAATATGATATTTTAGATATAAAAAATACTCTAATCATTTATAAAAATGATAACTCAACTATAATATCACATTGTCAATTACAATGATTGAATTTTTTTAAAATTATATATTTGATTGTTTGCATTCATCTGACACATTTTTATAATATATGTATATAGTGAGTAGAAATATTATTAGTTCTATTTATTAGTTTTCTGTAATCTATGATTTATTGTATACACTATAAATATAATATTTTTAAAACCGTTTATATAATTTTTATGTAGTATCATATGTATTTATATTTATATTATAAATTTATATAATATAATCTATGATAATCAATTGTTTTAATAAAAAAATTATGTTAATTCATTTAAATTTAAGATGTTTGATTATTTATTTGGTAACATATATTATATTAGGTAACTCTTTGATTAGTTTCCTTTTAAAATTTTGATTTAAATAAATGAAAATTCAAATATCAACAACCAATGAAATTAAGATAATTAATTCTAAACTTCACCTATGAGTGACACCTAAGCAAAAATCACTAAAGTGACTTCTCATTTAATATATAGTGGGATAGTTGGACAAAGCTCGCATATTTTTTGCATCATTTCCTTTATATTTATGTAGATGTGCATGGTCATAGGTAATATTTATGAATGTATATATTCTTTGTAGCAGATTATAGTATAGGAGTTTGGTTTAAGGTGTTTGTGTGCTTAATTAATACTGTATGGACAACCTAGTTTCTATAGTACATAAGCGTGTTATGATGTGGGATATGTTAATAGCATTTGTGTGGTCCATGTTGTCTTGTGCATGTTATAGCTAGCTCAAAACGAATAATACCATGCTTACTATATACTATTTACGATGTATCATAGTATAGTATCGCACATGGTGTGTTTTATCAAATTGGTTGTCAACAGAGTGTTTAATGCCACTTGTATTTTATGGGTTGAGGTTGTAACCATTTGCAATTTGCATACTATATAACGTTATTTTTTATGTTGCGATTTCTAAGATAAAAATCATTCTACTTAAGTAAGTACTATATATGGCGGGTGCCATTCACATAAAATTTAACTTAACTTTGTTTATTGCTTTTTCAAGCACAGGTGTATGATGTATTATGTGAAGTGTCTGAAATACTTACCACCACCAGATAATCGTGTCCTAAAACAGCTCAGTCGTATGTAGTTGAAGTCTTCTTCACCTCCAGGTTTAGTGTGTTGTGACGCTTCTCATGTAATTCAGTGTCACATGGTAACTTAATTGGTGTGACACCCACAAAGAAGCCGCTCTTGGCGTCGCATAACAGGCATGTGTGAGTGAAGCATTCTCCAGCTTCAGTCCGGACCTACTCACCGCAATAAGCTACTTTGTGTCATTTTCTTTCATCTGACATTAGTCTTATGTATTAATCAGTGATGTTTCTTTTAATTCTCCCTACATTTTTTGTTCTCTATCATGTAAACTTTGTTTCATGGCTGCAACTTTGAGAAAAACCTAAACTTGACGTCGAGTATGGTTATTATGTATGTTAACACTTGACTAGATAGTATAGTTTATTACATTTTTTACATAAGGTTATGATTTGATGTGTTTGTTAATTAAACTTCTATACTATATGAACAGTGGCAGTAGTTTACTTTGTCTTCTAAAGATGAATTTGTTAGGTATCCGTGTGTTCCGTTATTAAGCATACATTTTGTTTATGTAGTTGACGTACATGATTTTACATTTCACAGGGTTATCTTGTGTGGTAACGTTTGTGCTTCTAGAACTTAATGCCACATGGAGCCTGAATCAGTGTGCCTTATGTACAGATGATTCACTTACAGTTAGAGCTTTCTCGATCTTTAACCTTGATGAATTCATGTAATAGTGGGATAGAACCCATATGATATGTGCTCTACTCAAGTGTTACTTAAAAGTTATCGATTTACTAAGTTTTTTACTAATATCCTTGTTTTTATTGCGGTTATCGCTCAATTTGTGTACTATTTTGAAAGTTATGTATGGTTCAGTTTAGTAGTAACAAATTATTTATCGTTTGATATACATTTGTAATTGTGTTTCTATCCCCTACCAATTGGGAGCTCTTTAAATCCACCAGTTGTATTATATGTTTCATCTACCTACAAACAACACATTTCATATCCTATATCCTCATGCCTAATTATTTTTTCTTCAGATGGAATGGACTTGTATTGTCAGTTGGGATGTTA